TATTTTGATATCATGAATAGCTAAGGGTACTTAACTTCCTGCTTTACAAACCTGGTTTATTTTTAAATGAAATAAGAAACATCCAGAAGATCTAAGGTTACAACATTAAACTAACCATGGAAAAAGTAACTCATCACGGATGGCAAAAGTAAATAAAAACAGCTGCCTGGAAGTTTTGTTTTTTTAAGTGAGCCATTCAAAGGCGCAGCCAGGTCGGTTTTCTTTTCCATCACTGTGACTGACTATAAGGAGATGTTGTGTTGGCTTACCTAGGGGGGGCCCTAAAAGGACAAAATAGCATGCAATTTATGCTATTAAAAGACCTTAATCAAATCCCAATCAATGCGTCAACACTGAGAGCCCTTTTACTAACACATCAGGATCCTCAGCAGCACCTGATCTGGTTCTGTAAACTACTCCATCCTCCATCCCAAGAAGCAAAAAAACCCCATGCTCAAGCTGAAACCTCCCGTTCAGATTAAAAACTATAGAGCCGATTTAAGGCTTCAATATGGTAGTCCAGAAATCAATGTAAACCTCACTGTTGCTGTCAACCCTGAATAAAATCTATGACACTGCCTTACATGAGATGTTGGCTCAATTATCATGAAACTGATATATCAGAACTGTATGAATATCAAGGAAATCAGCCTTATAGTAACATTGGTAGCCCTTTGAGAATGCAGTGCTTATTATATGGTGGATCAATGTGTGGTTTTAAATGAGAATTATGCAAAACTGTTCAATTTCTATCCAACATTATTATTACTAATGGGGGGTTAATGTCTCGTCACTAATAACAACTAAGGAAACAATAGACTAGCTTGACAGAGCCTTTTTATGTTCGCATGATAGCACTGTAGCATGTCATAGCAGATGCAGTTATAAATGCTAAGAATTAGCTGTGAAGTCAAAATGGTTTCAAAATGTAAGCATGCTTATTCAATAAATCTAAGTTTGACAGCTACCTTATTATCTCATGGCAGATGGTTTTTTTTGTTTTTTTTTAGAAAATGTGGACAAGATTACAGACATCCAAGATGTGCCTCGTCTCAGTGTGAATGTGAGTGGGGGAAATGGTTGAGCCAGACAGGTGGGGAATGCATTCAATACACAGCTCAATGATACTACTGCTGCAGAGACAGTTTTTTTTATGTGTGTATTTTAGCAAACTTAGATTCTTCTAATCCGTTATGGAATTCATTTCTCATACAAATAGGTTTAAATGTTGGGTTTTGACGACAGCTGAATGATACCATACCAGTCCTTCATGTATGTGAATACTGGCACACAGCAGAACCAACCACAAACGCAATCAACCAACCTTGTGAGCCAGCGAGCCCAAACTGTGACCTTGTACGTTCAAACCGGTCTCCAGTAACCCGACTGATCGATGAATCAACAACATTTACTTAAGGAGGCTTTAACAGACTCACTGCAGGCTCTTACCTTTTTAGCAAGCTGCGTTAGAGGTTTAGTCCCGGCTAAATCCGTGAACCAATTATTGATGGAGCTCTGTGACCTCGCCGTGACGAGCCAGAAATTATCCTTCTGGTTAACCTGTGGCTTACGCTTCCCTGTGTCTTGAAACGTGTTGTACCGCAGCTTCTCGGCGATGATGCTGCTGAAGTTGGAGCTGATCTGTGAATCGAACGGAAAGGGGGGGGGGACATGAATGAGGGCGGACTTCCTTTAAAACTTGCAAAAAAAAAAATATGACAACAAGCGATCATCCAGTGAGCGGATACCTTTGAAGGGTTAAAGTTGACATTTTTTGCACTTCCATGTTCATCCCCAGAAACAGCTGGTTGGTTATTGAATCCTTGCTTTACATTCAGTGCAGTCAACTCATCCTGAAGAAGAAGAAAAAACACATATTTTAGTGCATTGTGATAGTGAATTAAAAGAGTTAATGCAAAGTAACTAGTGTGCTTTAACACTATTTGATATTTCTAACCCAAGGCCAGTTTTGAATAGTGCCTGATAAGGTTAAATAACACAAAATACATATGCTTTTACAGTGTAATGTTATGAGTTCAGTATGAACGTCATTTGAAACATTAACACAATACCCTACAGGTAAAGCAGCCAAATGTGCATCATAAAACCGACTGCCTCAAGTTAATAATAGATCAGCAAGGCAGCAGTGAAATCCTGCTCGGCTTAACCTCAATTATAAAAACAAAAATAAAACATATATAAAGATTAGGTTATTTAGGGTTTAGCTAACTCGTTGGATAGAAACCTGAAGCTAGAAAACAATTATCAGTCACGCACAATCCCAAAAAATAAAAAATAAACTCAAAACTGTTTCCCTCATCACAAAGAAAAACACTCGTGGTGATTTATATCAAACTAGTTAGCATCTGTTAGCTTAGCTTAGCAGCCTCTGGTATTTTAAAGAAGCTGTTTTGGGGTGTTTTTTACAAGCAAGCTGATGAGCTAGCTAACAGACTGACAACTAGGTGCAGTTCATTGTTATTGCTAGGCCCCAAAAAATCGTCTAGAGGGCTTTGCTAAACAGGCTAATGCTGCTAGCTTTGCACAGCTTCTTGTGCTCTCACGGAATCCTTTCTCAAAAAACGTGATTCTCGTTCTTTGTGGTCGCGCGTCGTCGTGAAAATCTGACCTCTTTCTGCTTCGGGTCTTGAGGATAAACGTCCGGAGGGCCGAGTCGGGGCCGCTTTAAAGGCCGGTGTTCGTAACTTAAGATCCCGAAAGCAGCCATCATCCAGCGGCATCACAGCCAGGGCTTTCCTCCTCCCCCCCCTTCTTCTTCTCCTCCTCCTCCACCTCCTCCTCCTCTCTGCAGCCCGAACAGAACTACAACAACCACACGCACTTCCGGCATGGCTCACATCCCGCAACCTTCAAAATAAAACGCGCGCTCGCTAAGAATACATGAACAAATAAATTAATTAATTCATATTTAAATACATAAATACAACATTTTAGGGGTTTTCATTTCATATTATAGGCTTAAAGGGTAAAATTGTGTAATTCTGAAAAATGTATCCTGTCTTAAGAAAGGCTCAGTTAAGAACCACTTCTCCCCAGAATCTGAGGGGCCCTTGATGTTTACTGAGAGCTGGTCAGGTGCTGGTTTGTGCAAATTTACGAGATACATTTGGGATAGTATAAATAAAAACAAACAAACAAAAAAACATCTGACATGATGCAGGTAAAGAGGTGTTTTTTTCTGTTCTGTAGCTCATGTTTTTAAAAGTTCCCATGTGTCAGAATTTTATTTTCAGAGCTTTTGTTTTCATTTTTAATAATTATATTCCCATTCCCTGTTTTCTTGAGCTGCTGTAATGCACAAATTTTCTCCACGGGGATCAATAAAGTTTATCTTTATCTATTTTTTATGAAGTTTGATGCTTGTTCCTAAACCATATTTTAAAATGCTCTGTAGGTAAAGATGTACTAAATAGAGGGCAAGAAACTGAGGCTTGAGTAGGGCCCAGGGGCAATTTTTCCTGGACAAAAAGAGAAGAATAAGTAAAGAATGGATATTCATAACAACAATAGCTGCAGTTAAAAATACACAGAACACCAATAACACAAAAACACAAAAAAGAACAAAAAGATAATGTCCATTCATTCGCCATCAATCCTAACTGACATTTTACATCTATAAACCTATTTAAGCCTACCCCTATATTCTTAACTTAATTGTAATTAATGATACCAATATACAATAATTGTTCATATGTTAATATTTAAATACACACTTATATAATAAATATTCCCATTACAATATACCATCACATTCATATATCAGTATAACAAAACCCACAATGCAACATACAAAACTAAATGATAAAAGACAAACCTCTGTGATTCTCATAGACCTTCCTCATCCCTACCTCATGAAAAATGTTTTCTTTACATTTCCTTTTAAACTGGATTATACGACTACATTGCTTTACATGGCAATTCAGTTTGTTCCAAAGTTTCCCGCCACAAATTGAAATATAGAAAAGTTTTAGTGTTGTTCAGATATACTACGTGTCTTTAAATGGAAATGCCCCCTTAACTTGATTCAAGATTAAAGATTCAAACATTTTTATTGACTATATCACATAGTTACTGAAAATGATCTTTGGTTAGAGGCTTAATTAACATAAAAACAGGCACACCCATTAGACTCACATACCAAAAATTCCATAACCAGGTAAACGCACAGGTGCAAAGCACGTTAAAAAGTAGTGTTCAGCCTTGTTTAAAATGCGTATTGCAGTGGGAATAAAATGGTTTCTGTTAACTTTATTTTTAGCCAGTGGTACTCTGAAACGGCTGCCTGAGGGGAGCAGTAGAAACAAGTGCTGAAGGGGATGTGAAGGGTCCTTGTGATGCAGACTGCTTTCCTCTCTGCTGCACGCATGTAAAGTTGTAACCCCCCCACTAAATCCAACCTTACGCATTCTTCTTATGGCTCTTTTTTTTATAAGTATACTGAGTAGTAATATCAATCTTATGGAGGTAAACTCTGGGGAGAAAAATACTGGCTTTGGGCTGCTTACTATTTGAAAATTCGAATTAGAAGTTATATAATAAGAGTATTGGTTTAGTGTCTAGTAGTCTGGACACAGTAGTTCTTCTAGCCTCAGTTATACATACACATTCACACAGATTGCAGAAAGGGAAATGTAGTGTGAATTTTGTGTAGTTCAGTCCCTCAAGTGAGCAAATGCAACATAATCCCCTCATTCCTGTGTAGCTCCAAGAATTCCAGCTATTTTCCCACGTTGTTAAGGAATTTGTGTTGTTTGCTAACAGCTGACCATTTTGGACACTGTGCACATAGTGGCTGCTCCCAGCAAATTAGCAGCTGCGCAATAGGTGAGCGAAGCAAATGGGGTACTTCGTGCCACACAAGGGTTTAAATGAGTGGTCTTCACATAAACAGTAATGTTGCCAAAGAGCTCCAAAGAGACGTTTCCATGTGGAATCAGTGCAATGTCTAAATATCAACAATGAAGCACTGGACATCAGCATATTTAGAAAACAGTTTTTATTGAAAAACCAGACCCTTTATGACAAATTAAACATTTAAAAAAGAACATTGCAATATTTAAATCTCAAGTGTCCAAAGGCAATCTTGAAAAAATATATTAATGCAATAAAAAGATATTGCAGGATTCATGATTGTTCAGCACGTACTTGATTATAAGGCAGAAGTTTACAATCCCCAGCTTTGTAGAAAAACACAACATTTGAAGACACATCCTGATGTTTCTCATTTTTATCTTTGTTGCACATTATGCATTTTGTTCCAAGGTTTGCAACCTTTACTGCAACCCCACCTTTTTTTTTTATTGTCACAAGGATTACATTGCCGGTAAAAAGATTACCATTAGCGTAAAATGTGCAGATTTTAAACTCCAGCATTTGGATTAAGAGGAAACATTAACTCACTCCAAAACACATACCTGCATGCAGTCTAAAAAGCATGCTTACATGGCTAACTCCATTAAATGTCCTGAAAGGTATATAGCTCTAGGCACATATTGCATCGGCAATCATTTCCTGAAATTACTGCATTAAAACATTTAACTAGGTGCATGAAAAATCAGAACAGTAAAACCTTTTAAGCATGTTATCGACAGTACATCCTACAGAAGGAATGGTTAGTAGGTGATCATTTAAAATAATCTGCATTGGGTAATAAAAACTCACTTCTCATTTGTAAGCTATTAATAATTTCCTGCACCATGAATATCTTAGATATGGAAATAAAATAGCGTAAACTAACTCAGAGGCCCACTGAGTAACTGACCTCCACAGTAAGAGGAAGCATCACATCCTTCCATGTGTCCACATGAAATATAAAGTGCTATTGTCAGAGTCATTGCTCTGTTTCACCTGCAGCTAACTGCTTTGTCTCCAGGTGATAACTTCTGTGACAGAGCGGCAAAGAGCAGGAGGCTGGTATGTTTCTGTTTGCATAGTATGGTTTTATGTGTTGTTAAGAAATGTGGTCCCTTGTTCTTTGGTTTGGAAATAAACAGATATTGTTAAACAGAGCAGCCTCTGTATTGCTCAACACTTTCACACCATGGCAGGATTTATTTTCACGTTTTTTTTTTTTGTGTCTCCTGGATATTTTGTGTTTGTCATCGCTCATATCCAGAGTTCTTCTCCAGTGTCTATTATCTGCTTTGGTTTTCTGAGGCTTCGATCATGGCTCTGAATCTTGACTTTTCATCTGCTAGCAACGCAGCGGGACTGTCAAACTCCAAAATCTATGAGAACAAAAAGGACAGAACAGTGATCAGTACCAGCATCTTTAATCAGAACCTGCTCATTCAGTGGATAAGAGAATGTTTTATTATTTCCTCTATGAATGTTAAAACCTCACTTATTTCCCCACTGGCAGCTCATGAAAAGAATTTCAATATCTGGAAATAACCTCCCTAATACAGTCTTGTTATGCTTTGGCGGACGACACAAGTTTCTGTAACCAATACTAATTGATCCTTAAGGGTACTTTACACTCAGCGGTCGGTATTCAAAGCACGTTAGGTTTCAAATTATAAGACTCGTTTTGTAATTTCAGGTACATTTGGATGTCTTACAGAAATAAAATTGAGCTTTTGCCTGATGCCATCTTGGTGCTTTAAAACATTGCTACATCTCTACCCTGAGAACTTCTCAATCACAAGACAGCAGCACCCTTAAGCACACCCTGCTCTTCCTTTTGTTTGAATCTTATTGGGACAATCATTTACAAATTGCAGACCATGCAAGATTGAAATCTTAAGCAAAAATTTTACTTCGGAAATGATCAAATAAAAAGTAAGGTATTTAAAAAAAATGTATTTGGTATAATTATTATATTATAAGGTTTGGACAGCTAAAGAGATAAGAGATATAAGGAGAAGAGAGCAGGGGAGGACATGCAGCAAAGGACCAAGGTCAGATTTAAACACACGGTCGCTGTGACGAGAACTATAGCCTCTGTACATGGGGTGCGCAACATAACTGCTGGGCTATCCAGTGCCCTAAAAAGTATGGTCTTCTTTATGCACCTCCATTAAATCCTGTAGGTTTTTCTTTTAATTTGTTTTTTTCTTCTTTTCTTTATATTTTGTATGGTGTCCCATGGTTAAATGTTTTTGTTGTTTCTTTCTTTCTTTCTTTTATTCCTTATGTACCTGTACTGGAATAATCATCTGTCAAAGTGTTGTATGAAAGTTTTTGACACGTTTCAATTCTCAAAACACATTATGAATACGCTGTTGAAGAGGAAAAGTAAGATAGAATCTCAAATGCATAGACATTACTGTGCTGTCTCAGCCAGATAATGTTTTTGAACATTTGCTGCGTTGCATTATTTCAAACTGGGATGCAGTAGTAATCCAAATTCTGAAAATGAGTATCTGTGAACGGCAGATTCCAAGTTGACTCATAAACTACAGACCCAATGGCTGCAGGCTGAGGAAGACACATGCGAGGGTAAGGCTATAAGCAAAAGTGGCTTACTGACAGCAAAGTAAAGTGCTGCAAAATGTCTAAATATGGTGTGTACACATCTTCATTGTTTTTAGGATCAGTTTTTCTTAAAATTATCTAAATGATGGGATATAAATGGCTTGTCTGCAGCAATGTACATCCTTGCTTCCAGTCCAGCATTCTGGCTGGTTTCTCACCGACGTCTCCTATGGCTAATACACTTACTATTGACCTCAAAAAACTCCACTTAAAAAATTCAGAACTTTAAGTCAAATGTTCACTGCCATATCCAATCCATCATCTCAAAGCGACCAATTCCCACAGTAAAATGGATGTTGTGTTTGAAATGTTTTAACAAGTTAATCAGTTTCAACCACTGAATCATGCCATCACACAGTCAGTCGTGTAGTCTTTATACACACCTGGCCGTTGTCCAGGACCATGACCCTGCTGCAGTTCATCACCGTGTTGAGACGATGGGCAATGATGAGGGTGGTGCAGCGGCCAAAGGCGGAGCTAATGGTCTCCTGAATGAGACGGTCGGTCTCAGTGTCGATGGCTGCTGTTGCCTCGTCCAAAATCAGAATCTAAAAAGAAGAATTAGAAATGTCAATCAAAACATGGAAGCGGTTGTGTGACAGTGTCAGTATTACATCGTAGCAACAGTAGGTTCGTCTGCCAAGGTGTTTTTGCCTCTGGTAAAAAAAACAAAAACAACCTTGTACTGCTATGAAGGCCATTGAGGACATTCATGTCACTGCAGATGTATTTGTTGTCTGAATGCTGTAAATCAAACCGTTTTAAGACTTGCTCGTAAAGACCAAACCTCTTTTGTGTAAGATTTCCTTTTCCAGTTGACAGGACATTATATTATCCCAAAAACTAAATTGCATTGGTCAGTTCTTGCTGAATCAAATCTGAAATTAAAAGAAATATATCTAAAACTAAATCAGAAAAAACACCATATCCTCTGTGTTGTTCTTGTTGTAACAGTCTTGGATGCCTTTCAGATGCACTCCACTAGGTGGCAGTGTTATCCCATGCAGAGACACATGTACACTGATGGCGATAAGGAGAGGTTCTATTTCCCTTAAATGAAACTGACAAGATTCATACTTCAGCTGCTGTCATCACTCGTATGCCTTACTATCCTCCACATGTAAATGTGAACTAGTCGTGTTACACAATCAGCACCTTGCTGTTTCTCAGCAGGGCTCTGGCCACACAGAGAAGCTGTCGTTCTCCCACTGAGAAGTTCTCCCCGTTCTCTGTCACCTCTGATTGGAGTGAATGAGGAAGCTGGCTGACCTGATGGGGGAATGAGGACACATAAAAGAGGTCATATTCTCTTCTTAGAAATGCATTATTGAAATAATCCAACAGTGTTCAACCATCTTGTCACTCACCATCTCTTTAATATGTGTCTCCTCAAGAGCGTCCCATATCTGGGAATCAGAGTAGTGATCCCACGGGTCTAAATTACTCCTATTGGGAAGAAAACACAACTGTTAAATATCTGTTAACTAGACTAAATGTTGAGACTGTTTATCATTAATATTGGAGGTTAAGTATTGTGCCAGTGCTTGTCTTCCATATCTCTGCTGACCACGGTCAATTCTCGCCTGAGGGGATCAGCATCAATAAAGCAACTGACTTCTTGCTTCAAAAACAAAGTAGTGCTGCTGTTTTTATTTTCAAATCAATCTTGCGTGTCTAATTCAGTATATCTTTTATTGGTTTTCTTTCTGCCTTGCAGCTTCTTTATTAGATTTCCCTCTAGTGCTGCTCTGTGTTTTCATTCATGCTGTGCCGGCACATATGAAAAAGTAGCTAGTAAAGCTTAATGTCCTTTTAAATTTTTTTGGGACAATTTGTCGATATATATAAACAGGATCACAGACACAGATGTAGAACATCAGCTGCTCAGTTTTAATGCAAAAATGATAATCCACTGAAGCTTTGAGCAGACAAGTTGACTGAAGGCTCATGACTGTTTCCTGCTGCAAGAAGCAACTACACAGGAAGAAATAGTTATTGAAATGAAACACTGGTGAAAGATGCTACATTGTTGCAGCACTAAGCAATCACAGCTTGACAGCGGTGCAAAAGATCACAGTTGATACGTGATCCGTTCAAATCGCGCCCCACTGTTCGGACCACATGTGATCCTCGGATCAATGAAAATGGTTATCATCATTATGTAAATGACATGTTCTCCTGCTGAATCCCTCTGCAGAGCAAAGCTGAAGCTGGAAACGTATCCAAACCAACTCTGTTACTGAGCACTTTTTTCAGTCCAAAAAGGGGAAGATGTAGTCTCTTAAGGCATGCCTTGGTTGATTGTTTTGTCTGACTCGCACAACATGCTTTACAGGAGCAGCGAGTGACACACACACATCTCAAAAAAACGGTGTGTGTGTGTTACGTGTTACATTTTCAACATTGTCAAAGATCATACTCGGAAAAAAAAAAAAATTTTAAAGACAAAAAAAATGAACGATCTGTTGTATTACCTGACTGTTCCGATAAAGAGCACCGGTTCCTGAGGAATGATGGCTAGCTTGCTCCGCAGGTCATCCAGTCCAATCTGTGCAATATTGATTCCATCAATGGTTATAGAGCCTCCTGTCGGCTCCACCAGTCTGAACAGAGCTACACCCAGGGAGGACTTTCCTGCAAGCAGAGAAGATAGCGCATAAGGGAATGTGATATTCCTGCATTTTACGGAAAAGAAAAGTCAGTTACTAACCTGATCCTGTGCGGCCCACAATGCCGATGGTCTCTTCAGGCAGAATGGTAAAGGACAGATTCTTAAGCACAAGCGGCAGATCATCACGATAACGCATGTCCACATCCTGGAAGGTGAGCTGTCCCTGCTGAGGCCAAGAGGGGGCAGGAGCAGCTGCCTCAGGACTCTGTCGAGGTGCTTCTCTCTCCAGAGTCTGCGATAAGAGAAGGTGATGGTATCAGATATTAATCTTTTAATCTCTGTAGAGGTGTAAGCCCCCTAACTGATTTGAAGTGATTTTCACTCTGTGAGCTTTTCTTTGCTCTTGAGACTGAACAGAAAGTTAAGTCCATGAACCCATCTATGCAGGTTGACGGCTGTTGTGTGAAACGAGTCCTGTCATGTGCTCTGGAGTATGTGAAGACGGCACACTGGTGCTCCCTGCTGTGTTAATCACACATATTCAATCTCACGAACACAACAAAAACACACATGAACGGAAATCCCTGTCCCTGTCTATGTGACCAAGAACAATATGTCTGCTTTCAACATAGTCCACATATATCGATGAACTGACCTTTATATAATGATTGATCCTCTCCACTGATGTAAACCGAGCTTCAGTCTCTGTGAGGAGACGCACCGTGAACTGAAACAAGCCGGTCAGCTGGAGGTGAAAGACAAGCAGAGAGTGTTAGAAGGTAGCACAATTTCCTGCCAACAATGAGCGTTTAAAAACTCAAATAAAACATCTGAATGTTTTAAATAAAGAAACCAATGATCCCTTTTAGCCAGGGTGTGGAAATACTCTTGCATGCATGCATGGACCGTTAAAGCATCCTCTTTCAAAAGAGAGGATGGTATGACTGAGAAAGAGTAAGGCTGATGCTTGGTGATTTAAATAAAAAAGTATCGCAGCTAAAATTTGAGTGAAGGAGAGTCTGAAAATGAAGTGACCTGAAATGTGGCCCTACACAAGTAAATTCTCACAAAACAACATTATCCACCATAACATACTGTTCATACTGGACCAAGTAAAGCTTTAACAGCAAAACTTTAATTGTAGATAATGCAGACATATTTCCTTGATATAAACAATGTTTATAACTTTACTTTTCACATATTGTACATACTGTAAATGTAAAGTTAACGCTTAAACTACCAAAGGGCGGTTCCACAGTAGCTGTTAAATCTGAATCCATATTTCCTAGCTCCCTTTTAAAGCGTCTAAGGCTGCCGGTGTGTCTCAACACACGCTGTGTTACTAAAGGTGTTGTTTACAAACCTGCACTGCGTAGGAAATGGCCAGGCCTGCGTAAGCTGGAGGTATCTGATTGTGCATGAAGACAATAAGAAGTGCTACAGCAGTGATAAGCGAGATGCTGATGAGGTCCAGGCGGACAGCCATCCAGCGCATGGAACAGCTGAAGAGGTAGTTTGAGGCCTGGTTTGTGTCGAGTAATTCCTGATATCTGAGAGAAGAGAGAGAAAAAAAACCTGTTTAAGCAAGAGATTAAATAAGAAGACACACAGGGGAAATGTTCCAGGACGAGGTTTGGTATATTTACCAACGTTGGAGTAAACTGATAATACAACATGAGATAGGATGTTATTAAAGTTTAATCATTTCAATCTCCTCACAGACACCACAATGCTCACCTTTGGAGGAAGTCTTGCCCCCTTCCGTAGGCGTGGATTGTGGAGAGTCCCTGCAGACTGCTGGTGATGTGAGAGGTGAATGGTGATTGGCTGATGTTCTCCAAGCGCTTCAGTTCACGTATCAAAACCCTGGATAGAGAGAGAGATGAGGTTGTACATTTAAAGCTCCCATTGAGAGTTTGTAACTGGTTATGAACTGGTTATGAAACAGACTGGCATTAACAGTGATGCCTCTTTATAACCGACAAAAGCAGAAAGGACCTTCAGCAAAAAGACTGATTATTTCTAGACTGTCATTTTTAATGCCTGTCACCGCTGTCATTGTGTAGATATCAGACAACATCATTAACAGCACGAGGGGAAAAAAAGCCCTTTTTTTTTTTTTTTTTTCAAAAGCAAATATTCACAATGAGTGAAACATTTGAATGCTAAAGAAAGAAGGATAAAACATTACTTTTACATGTACAGGACTAAATCAGCTAATAGACAAGAGGTCCCACTTTTTCAAAAGGGGGGGGGGGGGCGCCAAAATCAACACAAACCAAAAGTTTCTCACAGCAGCTTTAACTTTCTTAGTTAACAGTATTTAAAAGTATTACATTCATAATATTTTATCAATGCTATTATCATTTGCAAATGCGTTTTTTCTAATATTTAAAACTCATAAGTAATGTTTGGTCCAGATATTTTCAGAACAATTTCATATAATTTTAAAGAGTGATTTAAAGTGGCTTGGTCTTAAAACATTATTTTTTATTTTTTCGTTTTTATACTTGCTTCAAAAATGCATTACAGCTACATTTTTTAATTATTTACCAATAATGGTTGAGAAAATCATACTTAGGCATTTAACTCCACTCATGTGCCTCGTTTGAATTAAAGAGGCAGGAAAATCAGTACAAACACATTCCAGTATGTGAGGTGCAAATCATCAAATACATTGCATTAAATCTGGAACATTATAAGACTTTACTCTTACAATGAGCCAGACTAAGTACAAAGGAGACATAATTTTATAATCTTGTATGACATGATGCATAAGAAACCTTTGAGAAGGAATCTTGCTTTAAGTTGGATGTTGACATTTAAAACCAGCAATAAGCACAGACAGGTAACTCGTCCCTAACAGAACACCAGTCCTGTCCCTCTTTCTGATTCACGTTGTGCAGTATTATGAGCATCCTCCCACAAACAACCACACAACTGGCTGCCAGAGAGACACCAGACTCCCCAACCACGAGGCTGTGTGTGTGAGAGAGAGCTTTATTGACAAACGTTGGAGTATCTTTCTACTTTTAGACACCAGGCTGGAATAGATGGTGCCTGTGAATTACATGAGTCCCATGAATCATTTGGTTTTCTCATAAAAAAAACCCAGAAGAGAGCGAGAGAGAGACGGAGAGAACATGACACTTCCTCGCTGCAGGGCTGTGATCCAGACAAACATGTTTATGCCCTTGGCGTTTCATTTCAGACTTTAATAAAGGCGGCTTTAGAAGCCGGTATTTTCAATGGGAGATGCAGTTTGATGTAACTTACATATTCTGGGATGTCATGACTTTGAAAGCTACAGTTTTTTCATCTTTAAAAAAAAGATGCTGTCAAGGGTGATCACTCCAGATGAGGGCCATCTCTTCCCTTTGGTATTTTGAAGTGCCTGTAATACTTCAACATGAATTCCCCTTGAATGGCATGCAAATCAAGATTCTCTTACAAGATAAATGAAAATATTTCGTAATTAAATGGATCCCTCCAGAGACAAACGTGGTTTAGATGTGATTAAAGGCATAAAGAATTGAAGTTTATGTAGGAACATGAATGAAGTGATGCAAACTCGCAGACAGGGAGGGGAATTTATGTGTGATATGTGAGCAGAGAGGCTGCTCTGCTGTGAACCTTAATAACTCCTTTATTCCACTGAAAGCTTCTCCAGCTGTCAGATATGTTGTCAAATCACAATTTTACATGCGTCATTTTAGATTGGGCTCGGATGTAAAGCCACAAATATCATGTTCTGTTTCTTATTATTCTATAATTTATTTGTACTTTCTGATCAACACCATCAGGAAAAAAACAACAACACACAGATTAAAAAATTGAAGAAATAACAAGATACCGGGTTATTTCCCGAGACACCGATGAGCTGTTGTTTCCCTCCAGTGGATTCACTTCTGTTGCGCAATTTTTTGAAAACTGTGAATAATGACTCAAGCATACTGATAAAACTGATAACCTGATAAAACAGAATAAGTTTGCTTCACCTGATTCAATGTTATTATAGGTTGTGGTGCCACCGATGTTAAAGTGTAATAAAGCTAATATTCTACTTTCTTACACAAAGCCAATCAAATTCAGGACATAAAGAGATCGTTTTCCCTGTAAGACTTTCTGGGTTGAACATTTAAACAAATGCCTCTTCCTACTGTTTAGAATGGTTGATCATGGTACTAAAATAAGACAGAATCATCAAAACAAAAACTATTTCATTTTTAAATTGTTTGATAACAACAAACAACGCGGAAACAAAATGTGAATTCACAACCTGGGACACCAACATTAGCAGGTCGCAGAATCAATATGAATGTACAAAGACATGACGACGGCTGAGCTTAGCTACGACACCATAGTAGGGAAAAAAGCAGTCTGAAAAGGGCTAATGTCAACAGAATGATTCCCCAATCTTGCAGCTTTTCAGGGGTTTATAGCCTGTTACAGGTTTGTTTTTCATCAGCACCCCAATGTGTGTAAACTCTGTAGATTACCTGCCTAAACTTAAACAGAATACTGTGAAAGAAAACTGGATTCAGCAATAATCTCAAATGTTTTAATGATTCTTTGTTTGCGTCTTGTATGTAGGAATACTTCCTTACTTTATACTTTACTCTTCAAATGTTGGTATATTACGTTGCAAGACTCCAAAATCCAATAAAAAAAGGTGATGCACTGCCTTTATTACAAGCTCATGGCTCCATTGTTTGCATTCACCAGGAAGGGTTTATTATACCGTCGTTGATATATGAGTCTTGCTAAAATCCGTCTGCAAAAAATCTTCAGTCAGTTCATTATCAAACTATAAAAAAGTAAGCTCTTCTCTCTTATCCAGACAATCTGTTAGTGGTGTTCAGTGAAGAAGTTTGTTTTTTGTCCATCATTGTACAACAATATCATAACATTTTATTACTTTAATCCACTGGCGTTACACCTAAGTTACATCGTGCCATTTCCAGGCAATTTTCCACAGCAAGACACTTTTTTTTTCTCAAGCTTAATGTTTTCTTCACTGTTTGCAGTTGTCAGGATGCCAGCAACTCCAAATAAATGCAAATAACACTCTGTGTCTCAAGGCAATTGTTTGCAGACGTATCATCCCTGTTAAATATACACATCTGTGTGTATCTATTAGTTTATTTTGCAGTGTATCTGTCCCCTCAACACAAAGAATGTAGTTGGAAGTTATTAGTTTATTAAAGTGACTTATGTTCCTGTCCTGTTTGCTTTTTTATCATTCGTTTGGGAGGTGATGTGTAATGTGCAAACAGTCAGTTCGAATGTGAAGGAGTGAAGAGAGGTCTGACCTTGCGACACGGTTGACGATGCAGAGGAAGGCTCCCAGAGGAATGATGGAGATGAGGAACCAGGGGAAGACGATGCCTAACATCCCCAAGCAAAACAGCACCAGGGTCAGGTTCTGCAGCAGCATTTCAGCTTGCATGGTGAGACGCACGTCAACTTTGGAGAGGAAAAATATTACACATCAGACACACTGTGTGGGGTTGGATGAATCAGTCACTGTGAAGAAAACTTTCTCCTTGTGCCCTGTTAAGTGTTTTTTTTTTTCTCCCAAAAGCGAGAAAGAGCCAACATGGAGTCTCCAAAAATAGTATTCAATGAAACAAAAAGCAACCATCCAGAAAAAAAATAAACAGAAGCCCACGAATCAACCTGACAAGCAAAGACACCAGTGAAGTGGATAACACACAAAGCCACTCCCTCCGGAAAAAAACCAAACTTCATTTGAAAACACTCTGCTTCGTGGCACTACACCTTGTCAAACACGATGACTTCACTGACTGAGCGCGCTCTCTTTGGGGGAAAGAATCCCAGTCAACACAAATCAAGCCTCACCCTCGTCCATGTCCCTGGAGAAGCGGGTCAGGATGCGGCCCAGAGGTGTTGTATCAAAGAAGTGCATGGGGCTGAGCAGGATCCTGCGGAACAGCTTGTCGTGGAGCACGGAGGAAGCCTTCACGGTGCACTGTCAACACAAACAACAGCCGTGTTTGAACATGAGACCTGACACATGTAAACAAACAACTCGGAGAAAACATACGGAAAGAGTCAGGGCTTGGATAAACACACAGTTGGGAGGATTTTGTCTGTCAAAGTGCTCTGATGTAAGCGGAAAAGTACACAGTGGATAAATCCAGTGGTGCTAAAACGACGCCCGCAGAGCTGAAAATACTACCTCGCATATGCTAAGCATGTGCACAGTTTTGGGTGGTTATCTTTTCTCCTGGCACAAGGCAAGCTGTCAAAACTTCATTTCGTAATGAGTTTCTGGAAGGCTGACATAAAGGTCATGACCTAATGAGCAAGCGACATCTCTCCAATTGGACATAAATTACATGTGGCAGCAGAGGACAAATTAATTCTATTAATGGAATATTCAACACTCTCAGAAAAGTCCTCACAGCCAGAGGTTAAAAAAAGATTAGCCATCTTTGAAAAATTAGCAATTTCAAGTGGCACACGTTAACGTGGGGACCTGAACTCTGCAATGCATTGTCAGGATGGGTTAGCTTGAAAAAATAAGAGGCGCCGAAGGGGCAGTGACACGAACGCATGCACACACACACACACACACACACACACACACACACTTATTCTCTTTGTTTCCCTTGTGCTCTCTCTCTCTCTTTCATCTCTCTCTCTCTCTCTCTCTCCCTCTCTCTCACACACACACACACACACACACACACACACATGCAGTGGTTGTGCTGTGAGACTTGGCCAGGGACAGATAAATGTATTTTGCCCACAGGCATTTGCAGCTATAGCACAGTAACCATCAGAGCATGAACAAATGACAATAAAGACATTAATGCAGGGTCACTGCTCAACTGCACACCAATAAAACATCAACTTTTCATATTTCTTATGAACACCATGACCATTTTAAAGAGGGGATATTAAGTTAACTAAATGTGGGCCAAAGTCTCAAATCAGTGTAGTGTCCAGAGCTCAGCCTGCAGGTTTCTCTTAACACCAGAGTTTTCTGACAGTTTTATCTTCCATGGGGATTTTGAGACATCACAAAGTCGCTGAATTTCTTATATGTTCATATGTTCGAGGAACAGCTGTACAAGGACACACCCACACACTCTGAGGGTTCTTAAAGGGACAGTACCTAAAATCGTCTGTGTCTGACAGAGGCTGAAATGAGGCTGTTCACGGACAACAGGGTGAGATAAATATATAAGAAAATAAATGTTTCCCTTTTTAAAACACAGTTACAAAGTACTTCACAAAATCTTGAGGATACTTGGACAAGCACAAATAGATACATACAGTTGCAGGAAAAAGTATGTGAACCATTTGGAATTTCCTAGTTTTGTGGATAAATTGGTCATAAAATGTGTTCTGATCTTCATCTAAGTCACAACAATCGACAAACACAGTCTGCTTAAACTAATACCACACAAACAATTATATGTTTTTATTGAACACAACATGTAAACATTCACATTCAGTGCAGGGTGGAAAAAGTATGTGAACCCTTGGATTTAATAACTGGTTGACCCTCCTTTGGCAGCAATAACCTCAACCAAACGTTTCCTCTAGTTGCAGATCAGACCTGCACATCGGTCAGGAGGCATTTTGGACCATTCCTCTTTACAAAACTTTTTCAGTTCAGCAATATTCTCGGGATGTCAGGTGTGAATCGCTCTCTTGAGGTCATGCCACAGCATCTCTATCGGGTTGAGGTCAGGACTCTGAATGGGCCACTCCAGAAAGCGTATTTTCTTCTGCTGTTGATTTACTTCGGTCGTTGTCCTGTTGCATCACCCATCTTCTGTTGAGCTTCAATTGGTGAACAGATGGCCTTACGTTTTCCTGCAAAATGTCTTGATAAACTTGGGAATTCATTTTTCCTGTTGATGATAGCAATCTGTCCAGGACCTTATGCAGCAAAGCAGCCCCAAACCCTGAGGCCCCCTCCACCATACTTCACAGTTGGGATGAGGTTTTGATGTTGGTGTGCTGTGCCTTTCTTTCTCCACACATAGTGTTGTGTGTTCCTTCCAAACAACTCAACTTTGGTTTCATCCGTCCACAGGATGTTTTGCCGGTAGTGCTGTGGAACATGCAGGTGCTCTTCTGCAAACATCAAGCGTGCAGCAATGTTTTTCTTGGACAGCAGTGGCTTTCTCTGTGGTGTCCTCACCATGAACTCCATTCTTGTTTAGTGTTTTACATATCGTAGATTCGTCAACAGAGATGTTAGCATGTGCCAGAGATTTGTGTAAGTCTTTAGCTGACACTCTAGGATTCTTCTTCACCTCATTGAGCATTCTGCGCTGTGCTCTTGCAGTCATCTTTACAGGACGGCCACTTCTAGGGAGAGTAGCAACAGTGCTAAACTTTCTCCATTTATAGACAATTTGTCTTGACTGATGAACATCGAGGCTTTTAGAGATACTTTCGTAACCCTTTCCAGCTTTATGTAAGTCAACAATTCTTAATCATATGTCTTCTGCGAGCTCTTTTGTGCGAGGCATGGTTCACATCACGCAATGCTTCTTGAGAGTAGCAAACTCAAAGCTGGAGTGTGTTTTTCATAGGGCAGGGCAGCTTTAACCAACACCTCCAATCTCGTCTCATTGATTGGACTCCAGGTTGGCTGACTCCTGACTCCAATTAGCTCTTGGAGAAGTCATTAGCCTAGGGGTTCACATACTTTTTCCACCCTGCACTATGAATGTTTACATGTTGTGTTCAATAAAAACATGAAAACATATAATTGTTTGTGGTACTACTTTAAGCAGACTGTGTTTGTCTATTGTTGAGACTTAGATGAAGATCAGAACATATTTTATGACCAATTTAATCAGAAAACTAGGAAATTCCAAAGCGTTCACTTACTTTTTTCTGCAACTGTACATTCATCAGTGATTGAGGGGATAGGGCAGGTGATAGAGAGTTGAGTCTTCTGAGGTAAGTGAGGGTGGCTTACCTTCACAAACACCAGGCCCCTCATTGTCTTCAGCAGTAAAGCAGCTCCCATTGATGCAATGTAAACAGCAGAATAATACTGAATGTGCGGGTTGAGTCTCATGCTGCTGCTCGCCATCGTTTCATTCACCAAGATTGATGATGTGTTCTGAGGGCAGATGGAGCAAACAAATTACAAAGACTGAAAGAAAAATGAAATCTTCACCCTGATGTAGAGGAACCTTGCCTCTAATAAAACTGAGAGAAGCACATGTTGTCATACAAAGAGCTCATGAAAGTCAGCCACCTCGATAATGTTTACTATTCCCCACACATTTTTCAGAAGCAGCCAGTGCCTGCTTTGCAGCACATCTGTTTCTTCACTGCTCGTGCTTGTTTTTAATTAACTTTACCGTGGTGCTGTTACTTTTTTAATCGTAGCACATTCAAATTAATGCTCAGTCGGCTCCAACAACTCACTGAAGAACAGCAGTTATATTTCTCCTTGGGGCAAACTTAAAAGAGCTGTCTATTTAGTCAAAGAGGGTCATCTCTTAACTCACCCCACTGCCCTGCTTGATCCAGTGACTCAGCCACCAGTTACTGAAGGCTATGCTGCCTGTGGTGGAGAGGAAGAGGAAGATGTTGATGATGAAGATGATTGGCCCTCCTGCTGCTTTGATGTAGGCACCGTACACAGACCAGGCGACTGCACCTGAGCCTTTCTCTTCAGCTTTCATCAGTTGATCTGAATAAAAGATGCGAGAAAGAAAGCAAACGGGAAGTTACTTTTGAGCTTTTCTCATGGAAATGAAAGTGTTTAGCATTCATTCTACATGTGGAGCACAAAAAGTGTCAGAGTCGCTCACTTCCTTTGTTGCTCTCCACCTTTGGTCCAACTTTGGAGACATACGCAGCATTGTCAGTCTTTTCTGCAACCACACTCTTCTGTTTGTTTTTTAAATTCTCTTTCACCAGATTCTAAGGTAGAGAAAGACAGAAATCTGAAGCGTGCCAACGCCACAACTCACAGCAGCAGCAGCAGCAACAACAATAGCACCCTGCAAGGCATTTAAACAGAGATATCTGTGACAGGGTCTTTAGCAGCCCACCAGTAAATCAATGCTCGAATAAATAATGAAAGGCCATGTATGCATTAACATTTCCTGGCTATTGGGCCTTCCTATCTGGGCTTATGAATTATTCAGCCTGTAAAGCTCACTGTTATTGTGTAGAGAGGGCAAAGATGCCTCTGTCAAAAGAGCTGGCTTGGAGCCTGGTTCGCCCCCAGCCTTACCTCCTGTTGCATGCTGTTGAACAGGGTGGCATAGTCACGCTCTTTGGCCATTAGCTGAGCATGGGTGCCGCTCTCGGAAATCTGCCCATCCTTCATCAGAATGACATGGTCAGACTCAAAAGATACTGAAAAATACAAAGGAAAAGAGGAAAAAAAGGAGTTACAGACACTCTGCAGACATCAAGAGCTCTAAACTTCAAAATACTTTTGTAAAGTTGTAAAGTAAAGCTAATTTTGGGAACTTTGGGAAATTATTCAACATAAAAATGAAGTATCAGAAATTCATTGACCCTTACCTGCAGTTGATGGGTAACAAAGAGAATGGTTTTGCCTTTGGCGATACCCCTTATAGCTTTATGGAAGACATGGTGGCCCACACAAGCATCAACAGCACTGAGAGGGTCATCTAGGAGAAGTATGGGCCGTTTACTGTAGAGAGCACGAGCCAGGCTAACTCTCTGACGCTGCCCTCCACTGAGGTTGGCACCTCTCTCTCCAATCTAGAACGATAAAGTAATAATTTAGACGCACTGAACTACAAACATTCAAATACACAAACTTAAAATACTGGTAATTCAGACCATTTTCATCTTTTTCCTCTCTGTTTCTAATCTTTGCTGATGGCGTCCATTAGGACAAATCTCATTTGATTAACAGAGAATGACCCTGAAGTACGCCCCACAGAGCCATTGCATGCAGAGCACACACAATAACACATGCGAGCCCAGACACTACTACTTCACAGCAAAAGTTATTGTTTGCAACAAGACAAGAAAGTTATTTCTACAGGTACCTCAGTCATGTCTCCATATGGAAGTTCTGCCAGATCTGGGAGAAGACAGCAGGCCTCCAGCACAGCATGATAACTGGTGAGAAAATGAGAAAACTGGTGATTAATCCAGCTTCATGCAATTTTTTCTTAATTGCTTGTGTTCCTCGTGAAATCATTTTGCAGCAGTTGATCTTACTTGTCTTGGTTGAACTCATTTCCAAAAAGGATGTTCTCCTTTAGTGAGTGATTAAGGATCCAGGCTTGTTGTGAGACATAAGCAAAGCCACCACTGGCTGCTACATTTCCTTCTAATAGAGTCATCTGCAGAATAAAAAGAGGAGGTTGGAAACGGGAATACTTCTTTTTGAATCACAGGTTGTTTCTTTTCTTTGTTTGAGAATAAAAGGGTTAAACAAAAAAAAACTGAAGCTACCCTTGTTGCTATTATTCTTGTCTGTGCTGCATTGTTAAAACTCACCTGTCCCAGTAGAGCTGACAGAAGAGAGCTTTTTCCACTACCCACACCTCCACAGATGCCAACCAGTGAACCCTAAAAAGAAACCAGTGGTATTGTGATTCATAGTACATAAATCAGGCAACATCTCTTCGCGCCATTTAATGCATGAGTTTTTGTTGTTACCGTCTTAACGCGCAGGTCAATGCGGTGCAAGGTCTTATGCAATGGAGGTCGCATGCTTTGAGTGGAGGAGATGGTGCTTTGTGGGCTCTCCTGCTCCATATTTGTGAGGAGACTTTGCGCGGTAGGACTTCCTTGTTTCCTTTGCCGTCGTCAGTGGAGATGTAAAGTCTAAGTTTCTCCCTGCGCAGCACGCGCTTCATCCCTCTTCCCTTCTTGGGGGGCTGGGTGGGTTTTGCAGATGGAGGTCGAGCCTTTTCCCAAGCTAGCGTGGCGTCCTGAAATTCCACTGCATTGCCGGGATCATCCATTTTGACCAATACCACCTCTCTGTCATCCATCATAAAGAGCCTCTGTGGAGACAGAAGAAATAACTGACTTTGTGCAACATTTACATTTCACCACATTGTGATGATCAAATTGACCAGATTTCTTAAAATTTGAATTCCCTTTAAAACTGCCAGCTTGTTTTTTTTCTTGTGTGCATGTCTAACAAAAATGTTTTCACTCTTGCACTCAGCACTGTTGAAGTTGTGCTTTGACATGAGATACTGGGATATGCCGTGGTTATGATACAGGGCAGACTCATAATTTTATGATGTGCTAAATAAGAAAAGAAACACAGAGTACAGTGAGCCTTTTGGTGCATCCTTGGCAGATGCGATTGCTTACTTAACCCGAGATGGCTCTGTGAAACCATCTCTCACTAACATGTGACTTCTACCATGTTTGTGAAATACAGTACGTTGATAATGTCAATATGTGGTTTGGGCAGGTCAGTAACAATGGGAGCACATTTTCCGACGAGTAAAACCTGCTTGACTGTTGGCTTATTGGAATTACAATCTCTCAGTCTACTTTAGTCTGTTCCTGACCTCTTTACGTGCGAGCAGCAGGAAGAATAAGCAGTCTGCATCATTTGACCCTTCACTTCCCCTTCACCACTCATTTCAACTGCTCCCCTCAGGCAGCCGTTTATGTGTACCATTAGCAAAAATTAAAACCTACAGAAAGTATTGCCTTTAAAAAAAAAGTGTTTTTACCTATTTAAGGTTGTTTTATGAATTAATGTGAGTCTTATTGTGAATGTTTTTATGTTACTGAGTCTCAACCAAAGGTAATTCTCTGTCACTATGTGATAGACAATATAGTTTTTTGATCTTAAATCTTGAAACTTCACAATGTGTACTGTATGTAAATGATGATGGGTACACATATACACACAGACAACTTATAAAGACATTTAGACCGACAGTTGGGAACCCACTTTATACTCCAACAATGTTCGACTTTGTCACAAAACAGTACTTATCCATCTTATAGAATGTAAAGCTCATTACAGTATACTCTTTCTCTGGCTAGGGTTTGGTTGTATGATGTCCTAAAGTAGCATGGTCTGACTGGACTGGCAGCAATATTATGAAGAGTGTTGATTTACATTCATTACCTTTGATTTAGATTTGTGGGATGTAATGTTAATCTAAAGAAATAGCTACAAGTACTGCAAGCAGATTATAGTGTTTGTTAAGTTCCATGACACTCTTATGGATCAAATCCGGACACTGCAATTTAGATGGTTCTGTGAGGGTGCGGTTGAAAGATTTCTCAATGTTTCTCACCTGAAATCGTTTGACTGCGACAGCACCCTCAGAGAGCGACCTCACAGCCAGGGGTGTGACTTTCAGGGCAAACGTCATGGAGTTGAAAACTGCAACCACGGTGAAAGCCTGAGGTAAGATGTGCAGAGATGGAGTTAGTTATTTAAATGTCCTCTTACCTGTGGCTACAACTAACATCAACATAAATACATATTTATAACAGTAAGAGACTTATCACATTAAACTGAAAACAGTGGCCAATTGAGATATTATCTATGAACCTAATGTAAAGAAATTACCAAATATTGGGTGCCATTGGGTGCATTTTGAAAACTGGTATTGTGACAACTCTATCTTGGACTGTAAGTACTTTTAAGATTATAAAAGAGGCACTACGACTCTAAGGAACCAGTGGCTCTTACACCGCAGTAACTTTTCCTTTTTTCTCTTCTCCTAATGACTTATGATATTCAAGAATTTCACCCTCATTGTGATAACTCATATGACTTTTTTTCTGGATTATTTATTTTGGTGTCATTAAGAATACAAAAAGATGGAGCATGCATTGAACAGATAAAAAATAGGAGATTTACTACTTATAGAACTTCAATAGAGTTCAAGAAAAGCGATCTGACATGTGTTTGAAGTGAATACAGATGACTCCGAAATGGCAAGATTGAACATGGTAAGTACAGGCTCACATATTTAAATACCTCAGCTGCAGTAAGGTCATAACCCAAAGCCATATGCAGGGTGAAAGTGCACGCGCTTGCTATCACCACGATGATGGGAGCCACGCCCACTGTGAGGCTCTGGACGACGCCAGCTCTCTCCAATATCCCCCTCTCCTCTGATCTCACCTCTGTGGACGAGATAATAGAGAGAGAGATGGGCAGATGACTAAAAAGGCAAAGGCGTGCTGACAGTGAGAGAAACTCAAGTCTGAGTACTACCAGAGGGTCCTCCAGTGAACAACCAATCAACAACAGCGTAAGAGTCAGTAACTAACACACACGGAGAGTGGACAAAAATAGATACCAGAGGGAGCACAAGGGGCCCCACGTCCATAAATGGTATGAAAAGAGGCTTCAGAACCTGCTGAACCTTGATAACTGTCCAAGTGTAATGCCCAAATTATCACCCCCCCTTTCTGTACATTTCTATGTCTTGAATGCACACCCTAGCTGCTTTGTTCACCCAGTTCATTGGGTGCAAATACTGGAATAAAAAGGCATGTGCATCTTTCATTCAGCCCGGGCAGAATGTGTGTGAAATAAAAGGACTTCCTCCTCCTTGTACATGTTACTCTCCATGGGACTTTTCTCTGTATGGTATGTGTGTTTCCGCTTAGACTACAAAGCTTAAGCTGCACGCCACAGGGCAAAAAAACATGTGATCGCCAATTAAACAACAACAGTAATTGAAGGGGAATGACACTGTAACTCTCAGGACTTATTGGCCATCGAGCTGAATCCCAATTAATTATCATTATAAAAGGTAATCAAAGGGCAGCAGTGAGAACGAGCATCGCCTGGCTAATTTGAAGAATGATTAAGAGGGGAAAATGATCCTTATCCACAACTTACAGATAAGCCCTCATGAGAAAAAGCCATCACTAATTCATGGGTAAGTAGAGCAGCCTTGACAGGCATTCGAGGTATCATAATGCCCTAAACACCTGGCAAATTAACTTTGAAGCCAAAGGATTCATCGGTCCTGATTACACAACGGTACAGGGAAATACTTTAACAGAGCAAGCTAATGAAAATGGATTTTAGGGTCGAGGGTTATCTTGCCAGTTTACGAAGAGGATAAGTCTAATTTAAGGTGATAAACCGACCAGTTTGGAGCTAATTTGCAACAATGACAGAATTTTAAATGAAGTGACCATTTATTCTGATTGATCTGTGAATTAAAAGATTACTAAAATCATAAAATTGCAACAAAAAAAAAAGTGTCTCACTAAAACTAGCCAGCCCTTGAAAACAAGCCTGAAGTGAGCACTTTAATTGTAAAAGCTACTTTGCTGCCACTCACTGTGAATATTCTGAGCAAAGGCGTCTTCCCAACAATACATCTTGATGAACTTTATGCAGCCCAAGATCTCGTTCATCAGCCTCACGCGTCGGTCAGTCACCACCACGCACTTCTTGCGGAAATATGCTGTCAATCTCGAGGCGAGCATCTGACCAGACGGGGGGACAGAGAGGAAATGATGACAAGAGAAATAAGTGGCAGGGGAGGAAATGAAAGCAGACACAATCACATTAGCTTTGCTGCAGAGCTGTCTGGGGGAGCAGAGTGATAAATGCCTCTCACATCAACAGCAGGGTCTCTGGCTGTCAGGCTCCAACTTGGACTGAGTGTAATTTGAAAATAACAGCTTCAAAGTTGACAGGAGATTGATGGACGAAGAGCTGTGACGCTTTCTAAAAAAAGTGCTGAATGTTTTGTTCAAAGTTTCTAAAGTGATGCAGTGTCATGTCTTCGTCTAACTACATTAAAAAAAATCATAGCCAAGAAAACAATGACTCAACACTAAGGGAATATATATTAACTTTGGGTTAAACTTTTAGAAATAGCTCCAACGAAATTGCTTGGAACAGCAATTAAGAAATTAAATTACTTGTCACTGTCATTCCTTGGAATGAGACTGTAATTAAAGTATGAATTGTTGTTACAATTTTCTTTATGTTAAAAACAATTACAGTTGTGGAGACGTACCATGACAGGGTAGAAAAGGATGAAAACGGCCGACCCTATTAGAGCAGTGGGGCCCAGGAAGTATGCAGTGTAGGACAGACCCAGTATCCCCACCAGGGGCCCCCCAGCCAGCAGGCAGCCCACTGATACCGCTTCATGCAGCCGCTGGCCATCACTGGAGCAGATGTTGATCAGCTGGGAAGAGAAAGAGTGATGGAGGATGTAGATATACTAAGATATAAACCTCACCTCTAATACTATACAAGCAAATTATAGTTGTTTACTTGTTGGGCAATGATTCTTCTTAGTCTGTGTCAGGACTTATCTAACAGCCTCTTTTCCCTCAGGCTATGAGATTTGTCTAGATCTAAGCAAATACGGTGTAAGAGCAAGAATTAAATCCATCTCATGCATCTTCATAAGGTGCCCTGCAGCAAGGGATGTTTAGTTAATTTAGGGTCAAGTCCCCCAATTGGGTTACATATTACCTCTCCTGGACCGATGTCTTTAGTGCTGCGTAGGCGGAGGATCTTATTGAAGGCAAAAGTGAGAGCTGCCCCTCGAAGGCGTGCAGCAGTGCGGTAGTTGACGGCCCACATGAGCGCCAGAGACCAGGAGCGCATCAACTCCATGAGGAAGATCCCGGCTACCAGAGACAGGCCGTACAGCACGTGGCTCACCGAGCTCTGGGAATACTCCAGCAGAGCTCGCACCAGGAGAGCCTGAGGACGAACAGAGGAGAGAGGAGAGAGAGTGGAGAAGAAAGTTAAGCAAAAGCAGTGTAGGGATGGTAACAGAAACAAAATAGCTGAAAAATAACACAAGCAGTAACATGGGGGAGAGGAAGTGCGACAGGAAAAAGAGAAGAAGATGAAAGGGGGAAGGGATTCAGGAAATATCAAACATAGAGATTAGAAGAGCAGTGGCAATTTGAAAAATGGGAGAAACATATGACTTAAGGAAGAAAAAGGAGGAGAAGAAACAGAAGAATGAGCAGAAGAAGAAGGTGAAGGGAATATCTATAACCACCAGATTAGAGATAATGTGAGAAAATAGCATAAGTAATACTATACAGAGTGGTTAAACAAGCCTGATGGGAATGACCTGAAAGACTTGAAACCACATGTTTTGAGTTGATGATGTAAAATAAGATCAACTAAAGGCTGAACAGTACAGCTTTCCCAGTGAAAGTACTCAATGTGAGACACATGTGTCCTTGTGTAAGAACTAAATCCAGTTAATGCTATTAGTGTTGGTTGGCAGCAAGTACACAGTCCACACATAACATCACATGGATATACACAGTGCTAGGAACAATAACAACGACTCAGGAATATCATAAACTAAACAAGTTCAAACGTAATAAGCGTTTGGCTTAAGGGGAAGATAAGAAAAAAATGAATTAGTTTATAAAAATGAATCTCTTCATGTATTTTTTTGGAAGATCAAAAAAACATATCAGCTAACGTCTAGACCAAAATGGGACTGGGTACAAATCACATCATCTACGGTGTTAATTTGGGTTTCGTGATCCAAGGCTTGGTAATCTCCTAGGATGGATCCATTTCAATTTTGTGTCAGACCAGCGTGACACTAGATAAAGAGATTTTCTGAGAATACATGCAGACTTTGGACTCAAAAACCAGCGACCATGCTGAGAGGCCAATTAGCCAAATCAGCAGAATTAGGATAATAATAAAGAAAAGGGAGGATTTAGGACGGTACTCACCGGCCCAACGAAGCCTGCCACCATTGTTAGGAGGAGGGAAAAGACGGCCACCAACATGCGGGTTTGGCAGAACCTCCAGAAGACTCTTGTCAGCGAAGCCTCTTCTCTCCCTCGTCTTTTGAGCTCATCATGCCACAAAGTTTCGAGCCTTGAGGCAGAGAATCAGAAGACATTTAAATTAAATTTGCTGAATGACCAGCCTCAAAAGTTCCTCTGTTTTTGCCCAGCTTGCACCACACCACCATGAATGCTATGCAATGTATTGTTTTAGTCCCAATTAAGAGTATGTATAAGTTGGCATTTCAGAAGGGCAAACTGTCATGAGGGGAAAGAAACTTGCATTATTATTCCTAAAACTGTAGAGCTGCACATTGAATTAATCAGCCTGCCAAATGGCACAATGGGGGATATATATATATATATATATATATATGCAGTTTGGCAGGGAATCATGGCAGCTGAACAACACAAGAGAAAAAATGAGGCAGTTTGGCTAATAATATTGTAAAGGTGACCTACAATATACATCATGAATGATGTATTACATAATTAGACCGCAAAAGGTATTAAATCAGATGTATAAAGAGATGCTAATGCCCTTTATTGCTGTATAATGCCCATGAAAGATAGTAAAATATCATGTTGGCCGAATGTTTCAATGCTAATGACTCCGTAATGCAGCAGAAGAGCAGCTGCAGAAAGTCATTTATGTCCTAACGACTTTATTAAAAACGTATCAGGGAGGACAGACAGAACATTAAACCCTCACACTGATTGATTTTTTACTTCTGAAAGTCAAATGGTTTTCAATCGAAGAAATATAATCATTTGCAACCCAAAAACAGGAAAGAGCACATGACGGGATAATGGAAATGAGACTTCAATGCAACTATTACATTTTGTTGTTCTAAATCCGATCAATGGGCAAAACTAATACGTTTGAACACAGTAGAATACGTAAAGAGATTTATCTTCTATAATACGTCCCATTGATGGTTAATATTAATATAATTGTTCCAAGGTTCTGTTTATTTATAGCTCTTATAATCCCATTAAAGACCCTATCAAAGACTAAAACAATCCTTGATCAAACAGCAGATCTCTGGATGTGAGCATGGTCACAAACATTTATCCAAACAGAAAGCACCCAGGAAGCAGTGTGGGACCGAAGGAGAAATAATTGGCTTTTAAACACGGCTGAAATGTTCCTACCAGCCATCATTTAAGTTTGCCAAATGGCAAGCGAAGCTGAGGTTTTTGGCCAGGGCTTCGCATTCAAGTTTCGCACCTCACTGAGCACCAACAAGTGTCAACTCTCCCAGGGTGCTTTTCGCATTCCCCCCTCACACCGTCATCTCTGCTTTGCATGCTGGTTGCATAACTGTTCCTGCTATGTAAACACAAAATAAAGACCGCCCGTCTCCGGAGGGTATGCTGCTTACCCTCAGTGTGCTATTTAGCAAACAAAAAAGCAGAAGTACTAAACCGACAGGCCCTGAGCCAGAGAGCCTTTACAGAGAACAGGTTATTTACAACCTGCACAGTTTTTACAAGTTAAAAGTAGACTTCCTCAAATGGTGACCCTTCTCTTTACTGCCGAATCATTGTGCCATGACAGCACGTGAGCAATGGGAATAGAATTGGTTTTCTTTGTCAGCACGTGGTAGAAGCTAAATACCCTCTAATATCCTTATTGTAAGTCTATTGTTCACTCAAAGACTTAGTGCATTTCAACAGGGCATTTCTCAAGCTGTGTTTGGCAGGAAGCAATGACTTTTATCTCGCAGTCAATCTGATGCAGCCTAGCTCAAGTCAATGACAGCTAATGAGTGTGACAGGAGACACAGTGTATCCCAGGTAGAGGAGTTAATGACATAACCACCCAAGTCAGGCACTAACTCTCACTGTAATCTCTAATCCATGCTATTCTTAGCAGCCTCCCATCCAGGCACAATGTCCCTGTGTTGGTAAAGAGAGACGGGATGTTCATCAATAAAGTCACACCGCACAGACTCAAAACACACACAGTATGGAAACACAAAACCCTGAAAGGTTGCTAACATGGCAGGGAATTACAGATTTCTGCCTACGCCAGCGTCTGGTTTTCTTATTGTCCGCAGTTTGTTTGACAATTTCCACATCCATCTGGTCTGCTTACACCGCATATACTGCAAAGCAAAAAGGTTTCTCAGTTCAAAAAAGAAACAATTCCAGTGACCCCCACAGTGTGAGAGTGAAGCACAATGTCCAGATCAGTTCACCTGAGCACATCCAAAAACAACAAGCTCCACTGGGTGCCTGAAACAAAAAAACATGACTTTTTCACCCTGATGGATCATTCTGTGTTTCCTGAGATCAGTTCACATGAACAACAGTATTTTCTTTATTGGACAACACTTTTTTCATATCAAGTGGGAAAGCATCACGTACAAAAAGTCCTCCACTTCTGAGAACAGAAAGACATTCCTCAAAGTGATAATAAACATTATTCTTTCTCCGACTACACTTGGTGCAAAATGCTAATCTTGCAAAAATGTCAAGAATATAAACCTGTACAACACATACCTTTTTTAATACAGACAGGAAATTTCAGGAATCATTACTCAAACAGGAGAATATACTGAATTTGATTGAAGTAAGTTTTTTTCTTACCACTTTTGCTGCTTTGCTAAACTGCTTTGCTAAAGTGCTCATGATGGATTAAGCCGGGTCTTTGTAATATAGGATTAAGTAAGGTCTTTTTACCTGCTTTTTGTAACATAACAATGAGTAAGGTCTTTTTACCTGCTTTTTGTAAAGTGTCTCGAGATAACACTTGTTATGAGTTGACGCTATACAAATAAAAATTGATTGATTGATTGAGTTGTCATGTGTGTAAAGCACGGACTAGCAAATCCATAATGAAGCGTAAGAGTCCATGTTCATGGTTAATGTGTTGACGAGTCATGTCAATTACAGTAAAGGTGTGGCTTAACGATGTGACAAAAATAATGGTGCAATTTATTTGTCTTACAATGGAAGTCTATGCCACCTAATAATAAGCTGTATCAGGCTTTAGATAGTTGTAGAACTTGTTCGTCTAATCACCGGTTTTGTTAGTAGCAAAAAAAAAGAACAAAATGTTTCAGGAGAATTATCCTTTGAGATGCAACAACCTGCATCTCAACATGATCTTAAACTGAAAAGCAATCAGTCAAATAATGAATGAACACTGGAGACATTGTACGTCATTCATTTTGTTTACTACAATGGCGGCGAGAGCAACACATGGAGCTGCCATTAACTGTGCTGTATTCAGAGCCCAGAGAGATATCGCTGAGATCAAGAACTACAAATCCCACAAACGTAAGTTGAAAACATCTATCTCAAAAGTCCCAGTTTCTACTTCACACAATTAGCCGGTACATTAAAGCATAAAGCATGCATCGGAAATGTGGAACCATCAATCAAAGGCCCATTATTCATATCTGACCTTTATTTCATAAATAATACAATCATACAGTAAAAGTCATCTTCTCAGCATTTAAGTTTTTCAGTAAAAAAAAATGAAAAAGCAACACCTGCTAATGACACACGAGTTAGTCAAGGTCAGTCTTGTTATTTTTTACATTTGTCCCTCATCATCTGGATCAGAAGTTGTAAAACGTATCATTTGGAATTCCATCCTCCGTGTTTCAATTGAACCCAGCATTAGATCAGTAATCTTAACAAAAGTAAGCAGCATGGCTCCAGAGAGCCACAATAACACAACAGTGTGACAACAGTGTTCTCTCTTGTTACAAAGCCTTGAGCCCAGCGGCTACACCAAAAGTGCCGACACAGAAACTTTCTCACAGGCCATAAATTTTCATTCTCTTTACGCTGAAAGCTCCAGAAGACTATTCTATCTGACGTGGTAGAGTAGGTTTGGGTCAAAAGGGGTATTTCAGCATATTCTGGCCCAATTTTGGCCCAGGGAGGCTATAGTCTTATAAGCGGGTGGCCTGGGATCAAGTCCGATCTGTGGCTCCTTTTCCACATGTCATTTTCCAACTCTCTCCTTCGATTTCCTACTCGACCAAGTGTCCTGTCTACATAAAGGCAAAAGCTAAAAAAAAAATCAATCAATCAGCTGCCCTGTTTAAACGCTACTGTAAGCTATTGTCTAGCTAAAGGTTACAGAACATCGTGTTTTAAATCGAAAAGTTGCCTGATACCCCGACAAATTATTTGGCTGAACGTTCAGGAAACAGTGAAATTATTTTTGCCACAGGTCAAAAATGTACACAACTTGAAACCTGGTACACAACACATGACATTTCCCCTTTTGCAAATCAAATACAAGATTCCCCCCCAGAGCAGACCTGAATATGATAAAAGGGGTTTAACCTCTCCTTTCTATTTTTGTTATGTCTCACATATACTGCAGTTTTCTGGTAATACTGTGTTTAAGCTCCAAATGTAATTTTCCCAACACCACATCAGTTGCTCTCATACGATAAACCCCAGCAGTGACCTCACCTTTGGCAGTTGATTTCAGAGGCTTCGTGGCAAGACAGTCCCCAAACATCATCTATAGACAAGCTGGACGTCCTGTAGGCTTTCAGTGCCAGCGGGGAGAGCCAGTGAAGAGTCATAAATGAGAAGAGGCCGGCATTATCGACTGGGTGCTGGTGCCTAGAATAGAGAATAAGACGTGAAAATGGGTGAGATGTCTACGAGTGCGGGCATACACAGAGGTGCTATGTTGGGGGGGCGGGGGGGGGTCCACTAAGGCAGATGAAAGAAGAAACGCCGTCTTTGCTAGAGTCGATGAAAGATGAATGACGCCCGCAATGTTTGAACAGTAATTTGCACGCTCTGAACAGAAATCTGACAGAGCAGCGAAGTGGGAAAAAAAGTTCAGGGGCAGTTTATCAGGCGGCATGTGTTCAAACACAGAGCTGTCTGTCGCTGGGGGATAAGTTCACACCCCTTATCATAGCCTCCTGCTATAGCCTCATGCTCTCAGCACACAGCAAACACAACAAATTTGAACTTCTGTAAGAACGTGTGCTATAATTGGTATCTTCCTGTCAATTTGCCAGCCTAAAACTGTCTGTACATGTCTGCATTTATCTGGCTCACAATAAGAGAGACCCCACTTGAACTTAAATACGGTCTTGTTTACTTGTGTGTTATCCTGAAGGGCTTCAGAAGCTGCAGGCTTTGCCGGTAGCGGCCTCTTCTCTTAGGCCCCCTCTCGCCTGATTCCTCCTCCTCGATCTCTGGAAGAGGCTGCGGGGAGGACAGAGGCAGACCCTCCACACGCCCTGCTGCTTCCAAGGCATCAGGAAACATGGCAGACCTTGAACGAAGGGGAGGAAAGCACAACATTTATTGATAAATCACAAGCCACAGGTGCAAATATATAACACAAAGACACCCTTTAAGAGACGATAAAAAACATGCACGTTATGCTTTTGAAAGAGGTAAAAGTGAAAACTGCTGCAACACTTTTTTTTTTGTTAATTTCTTATAAATACTTTACAAAGCTTTCTTGATTATTCAAGTGTTAATGTGGTCTGTAAACTTCTGCAAAACTGAACGAGATGCTCATCACAATTTTCAGAGGGCTCAAAGTAATGCACTTTTGCTCCAACCAATGCAACAATACAAAGATTTCAATTTTACCACGGTATGTGCCAATCAAATCCCTTCCTATAATAAGAGCCAAAAAAAAAGTCTTAACATCTAAGAAGCCAGAACTTGTGAAAACTTCAGCTAAATTATCTGCAGTAAAAAGGAGGAATAAAACTCATGTCCTGCCTGCTTTATCTTCCTTCAACGCTAGGAACTATCAGCGAAGAGCCATGTTTTGCTGTATCACCCTCTGAGACGCAGATAGACTTGAGAAATCACCTTGCATCAGAGGTCGTGGCCCCTCGCTGGCATACAACTAAAGTGCTTATCTATTTAAAGACAACCTGCCAGCCGCCCCAAGAGCTCTGGTGCAGACATCTGAGCTGCCTGTGTGTCTCTGCACTGTCACTGATCCCCGCTACAGCGAAGCTTTGTGACAACAAGGTCAACCAGGACTCTGTGCAGGTTGCAAATTGACTGTCCAGAGAGTGTGGTCAATAATGAGAGTCAATATAGACAACACAGTCACGCAGCAGGGGCACAAACAGAGTCATATAACAGAAATGTACAGAGTATGTTCCGCTAGAAGTTCACGGGCACAAACAGTTAATTTATGTATCTATATAACAATATGATAGGAGCCGTATCACCACAAATACATTTTTGTTGTTGTTTTTGTAAACGCTGCTGTTTAGGATTGCTGCTAACGTTCGTTGTGTCCTTGTATAAAATGATAATAAAGATTCTACCTATCTATCTAAATGCTGAGTTAAAAAAAAAAAAAAATCAAGCATGAAAAGAGGTTTTGTGCTCCTTCTGCAGCCCTCAATGCCTGTGTCATGTGAAGTTTGACATATGGCTGTGAACTGACAGACTGCAAATCATGCATGGCAGAGATGAACTTGTATTCCTGCATCGTATGGATAATATACCTGCAAGATCTGTCTAGTTTAAATAGGCTACACTTTCATTTTAAACTGATAAGAAGGGTTACACAACTTCACATGCTAATAAGTCTTGACATGTTCGTCATGTCTAGACATGTTTGTGGAGTCAGGACACAGAAAACAGATATGAAAAATGAAGTCAGAACAATTATAATCAAACTGTCCCCTTTTTTTTGGCAAAAGTATACTCCAAAGTTTACTTTTCAAGTTCAAGTTATGTTTATTAGTCAAATGCACAACATAACAGGCAAAGCAGTCATAGCTGGCAATGAAATTTTTGTGTTCCAAGCTCTCCTTAACAATGCAAAAATAATAAAATAGTATAGAAGATAAGAGCAACAATGTACAGCGCAATTAAGAACCAAAAAATTAAATAAAACTAGAATGTATGTACAGTGTATATATGTAAATATGTATGTTTAGAATATATATATACATATAACAATAAAAAAAGTAAAGTGGTAAGCGGTCCAAAATGCAGCTGGGTGTTTTGTTTATGGTGATATATTATTAGCCCAGTGTTTCCATAGAATACAAAACATGATGTATGAAGCCTCTTTAAACACACTTTTTGAATACACACATTTTATAGATTTAAGAAATATCCTTTAGGCTGGTGAATAATTAAATAAAAGTTTCCTGCCCAACACAAATGTAGACCTGCTGTGTTATAATCACGACCACCATAGCACTATCATTTCATTCCTTTTCACTTTGGTTGTAAAGAGTAATATAATACAGTTACCACGAAGCAGTACTGTGTTAGTGTAATGACTGACTTTCATTCATAATACACTTACATTCAGCCGGCCTCAGCAGCAGTGCAGCTCTCAAATGTTGTGTTTATGAGCAGGAAATGCAGAAGATGAAGATGAAGATGCAGTTGACCATGTTGTCTCTCAGTCTAACTTCATGTCATCTAAACAAGTTTGTCACAATCCCGCGGACACGTCTCGTCGCGGTCCTGCGCGGAGGAGATGAAGACATGAGCAGGAAACACACGGTGAAGTTGACGGCTCACCTCACGTGTACAATGTACGTGACGCTTCCTCCCGGCAGCGTCTGAGAGGCTCCGGTTCGCCGTCACACCAAAAGGCACCCTACAGGGAGAGGAATTCCCGATATCACTTTGACGTCATAGCGGCTCCGCCAACCGGATGCGGTGCTGAATGGTCACCGTAGAAACGGGTACAGAAAACGAGGAAGAACACGTTCCAGACAGGGGGCGTGTCCTTCTCTGTGTCCACTTGGGGAGGAGAAATGCACTCATCAAAAGACTAATGCGCTTCAAAGAGATGGGGGTGACTAGGTGGAAGGTAACAAAAGTGTTATAAACACATATTTGTAAAGGAGTAATAAAAAAAATTCATTAAAAAAAAAAGATTAAAATCATCAACCAAATGTTTGTATAGCAACCAACCTGTAAGGCCCTGGCTACATAACAACCTAATGTAGCCTATTATCCCATTGCCCTGTCATTTCACTGTCTACAAATGCGTGATGTTTTTTTTTTAATATACATTTTTAGAAGATGTTTCTATCTGTAGGCCTGTGAAAATTATTTTTAAATACTGATACCTTTATAAAGCGTCCTTGTTTCAACTGTCTAGTTCCATTTATGTACATAGAGGCTATAGGTCATGTAAACAAAGGGGGAAACGCCTCAGTACTCATGCCTGAGCCATGAAGTTGATCTTTGTTTTGACGTTTAAAGATTGAACACTTTACAATCTCGACAAAAACAGCAGATAATAAAGATATAGCTTGTCCTTTGTGCTTGTATTGTTCTAGTTGGGGACATTTGGTGGATTCAGATGAGAGTCATAGTACAATTACGCTCGTCAGAATCATGTATGATAATCTTATCGAATTTGTAAGTTTATTAACACTTATGGAGTAAGCTTCAGGTAGTAGCAACATGTTCTATTATCAATTGTTAAATCTTTGAAACCTCAGACAGTTTTGTAGTTTGATGTTTGCAGGATAAATGTGCATCTGTCTGTTGGACCTTTAGGTCAACACACAGGCATTCATGGTCTATAATGTAATGCATGTGTATCATTTATTATCTTTAAAGCAGATTCCACAATGGAATAATGCATTATAGAATCGGCTTTATATAACATATATCAAAAAAAATTATTATAGACGAATCAACAGATTTAAAAAATGAATCCATGAATTATTTAATCAAAGGAATATAAGAAAACTATGAAGAACCACAGCTAGGCTCTAAGTATACTTTATTACCAGAGGGGCAATTTGCTTTACAGCCAGCAGTCAATATAAAAAAACTGAAATACACACAATAAACACTAAAATACACACATGAGGGGGGGGGGAGGATTTACATGATAGTGTTTAGGAGACCAATGGTACCAGGGACAAATTAATTAGTAAATCTGTTAGTCCTGCTGTGCAAAGTATATCAGCTATCTGTTTTATTGTAGAACCATACATTTTACTTATAAAGTTGCTAATTAATTTTTAGGTTGATAAATAGACTCATTAGTATCATTTGGAGTTAACACATATGCACATGTAACAAGAAAATGAAGTGTTCCTTTCTTTTGAGTAACAAATCAGTTATTCAGCTTCTTGTAGCAGCTCTTGTTGTGATGGCCTCTAGAATTACAAAGGTGTGTCGAGTTTCTAACATTTGAACTATTCTGTGTCACTCTGCTGCCCGAGGTTTAGAGGAGTTAGTCTATAGAAGTGTCGGCTGAATAGTAAACACTCTCCACAGTGACTGAGAGCTGTCCCCATATGTAATGATAAACACCTTAAGCAAAGGGAATAACATCTACACCGACAACCTCCTAATGGTCCACAGCAGTCAAGCTATGACACTTTATAGGACTCAGTTGTGCAAAGTAGAACAGCATCAGATATAAAGCATGTACTAAAAAAATATTTATCTGCTTAGTATCCAGCACACGTAGAGTCAGTGTGGCTTGTTTAAACATTTAGCAACTTCTCACTGTTTGGAGAAAGAATTGAAGAAATACAGGCTTCACCCAGAAACTATTTTAAAAGCTCACATTGTGATTCAAGAGTAAAACCATTTATAATACAAAATAATAGGTCTCAGGGTTGTTACCACAGCAACAATAAAGTCATCCTGGAAAATACAGGTACATACTGCAGCATTGAAGAGACATCCCGTTTGTCTTGCAGAGAGTACGATGTTAGAGAGAAAGGTTCTCCCTGAGGTGACTCGGCTGCAGCTGCTCCAGATCCCAACAAAAAAAAAATCCCTTCTGGTTCCGACTAAAGAGTTACCTTTTTTTTTTCACAACTTAATTGAAAAATGAATTGTCATGATTATCACAATGACCACATAGATCTCGTAAACCTGTTTTTCATCTTATTTAATAACAGAGGACAAAAGTGTTGAATTTGGAATGTACCACCCAAATAATTCATGCTCTCTTCATTCAGAATATACATCATTTATGATGTTTCACTGTGTTCCTGAGATAATTAGACTTAGACTTAGACTTAGACTTTCTTTATTGTCATTCAAACTTGTACTTTACAGTGCAGATAAGAACGAAATTTCGTTGCATTTGGCTCGTTGTAGTGCAGGATAAAAACAGCAGCATGTATTTACATATAAAAAATAAAAATAAGGTGCAGATATAAATAGATATAAAAAGAAAAACTATGAGTAAAAATACTATACAGATAAATATATTGCACGTTATATTGTATTTTACAGTCCAGTGAGGTAGTCCTGTGTGGGGGTTTGAGGGGGTATGGAGGGATTATTTTTTCCTGTTCAAAAGTCTTATGGCCTGTGGGAAGAAGCTGTTACAGAACCTGGAAGTTCTGCTTCGGAGGCTGCGGAACCTCTTTCCAGAGTCCAGCAGCGAAAACAGTCCTTGGTGGGGGTGGGAGGTGTCTCTGCTGATTTTCTGAGCCCTGGTCAGACAGCGGATCTTTGCGATCTACTAGTTCAAAACATTATGCAGTTTTAAATGTTTGTTTGTTTAAAGAGTATATTTAAATCTATGTACCTACTTTTGTACGTTCACAATAGCTAAAGTTTGAAAAAAGTGTCTGTTTTCATGTACTGCTCCTCCTTGCTCCCTCGCGCTCTGAGTCCGTCAGCTGCATGCAGCTAATGCTACAGCTAACAGGAGGACGTAGGAGAAGCCACGTTTCTGCGGACTTTGAATTTTTGCACATAGATGTGCCTAAACATGCACAGGACACTTGGAAAACACACTAAAGAGCATATAAAACCAGAAAAAAGCATAATATGGGCCCTTTAAATGACTGTGGATGTGGCTCAGTTGGTTAGACTCTGTTGTTTATCAACCAGGAGGTCGAGAGTTCAATTCCTCACCTCCTGCTCCAACATGCCTGATGTGTCCTTGAGCGAGACACTTTCCCCACTGCTTCATTGGCGGCATGTGAATGCGGCTAGTTATTTTTGATGGTCACTTTCTGCCGTCAGTGTGTGAATGGGTGTGAACAGTAGGGGTGACATGTGCTGTCAAAGCACTTTTAGTAGTTGACATTTTTAGTAAATGGGGCTGAAACATGTGAATCCTGATCTATGAAAAAATAAAGGCCTCTGTTATATCAGTACATACTCTAAAAATCATGCAGAGTTGAATATGATGGAGTTTATGTGTACACCTGAAACATGTTTCTCTCTTTGTGTTTATCATGTGATATTCTCCTTTACTGAGTTGTCTTCTTTGACAGACATGAACGACTTTGATGAAAGATAAGAAGTGTCAAAAATGACAGGCTGCAAGTGTACATGTGCTATAATTCAACCAAGCATGTACAGAAAGCCTTTAGAGCAGCCATAAGTGTCCAACAAAAGCTTTTAGAAGTGAAATGTTTTTCTGGCTTTGTGGTGGCACCGGTGTGCTTAAAGACACATTAATGCTTTGTGTATCTCCCGAACACTGTCTCTGGTCTGAATTTGAATTTATTTCTTTTAATAGGGACAATGCAATTTAACATAATTTCAATATAAAGCATGAAACTGATGTGCTGCATAAAGAGTATATAGCTATTGCTAATTTGGGCCTTTGTGTAAAGAAACAGATTAAAATGTAAAACATTCGGTTACATAAAACCCCATAACACTATATGAGGATACATTAAAATGCATGTACAACGATACAAATGCTATAAGTTTAAAATAAAGTTTTAAGATACTAATTAAAAGTGGGTACAGCTCTGGCTTGCTTTGAGCCAGCATTTCACCTGTTTTGTAAAACATTTGAAGTCTGAGATTAATTTTATTTCAGGTGGTAATGTCTTCCAGAGTTTACAGCCTTTGATGGAGAAGGCTGATTGACCAAACGTAGATCTACGATGTTGTACGCTACAGTTTCCATTCATAGTGCTACCCTGTTTCCGTCCTGTTTTTGAACATATCTGGAGGAGGTTCAGGGGCCAGATTGTTGATGCATTAAACAAGTTTGAGGAAACATAAATGCATAAAGCTCTCAAAGCTGAGTAGATTGTGTTTTTTCAGTATGTGACAGTGATGCCACCGGACAGGTTTTTTGTCCATTATTTTCAGGGCCTGGTTGTATAGTGATGAGAGGTTTCTGATTGTAGAGGGTGAAGCTTGTGACCAAACTGTCACACAGTATGAGAAATGAGAGAAAATCATTGAATGCATGAACACATGTGCTGCTTGAGTTGGTATGTAGTGTCTTATTAATTTAAAGCAGTTCAGGTTGTTCTTGATTGTTTTTGTGATTTTATTTACGTGTTTATCAAACTTGAGTTGTGGATCTAAAATGATTCCTAAGAACTTAAACTCACTAACTTCCTCTATTCTGTATCTTAACGTTAAAACTTCCAGGTGAGCACTTTTCCTAATGGAGAAACACATTGAAACTGTTTTACTCTGATTCAAAACAAGACGGTTGCATTCTAGCCACTAATGGACATTGCAAAGGTACTCAGTTAGGATCTCAGCTGCCTTGCTTTAGACAAATCATTTATAAACAGACTGAAAAGCAAAGGGCCAAGGATTGACCCTTGGGGAATACCCATTTTACTGATTAAAGGAGAGGATTTTTCTTGGTCAACTTTCACACACTGCTCTCTATTCTGAAGGTAAGACTCAAACCAGTCAATTTACTTTTTTGAGAAATTGAAAGATGGTAACTTAGACAGGAGAATGTCATGGTTGAAAGGGTCAAATGCCTTCTTTAAGT